TGAGCAGGCAGCATTTCACTTCATAACGTTCCAGTTCCATTAGCGATCTTGTGGGACAAGCTTTGTCGATAATCCAACTGAATTCCACGGAGACAGACGATGTATTTATTTATTATTTATTTAATCGCAGAAAAGCTTGGTACAATATGGCATCAAGAAAGATGCGCCACACAATAATAATAAAACAACATAGATTGAAAGTAAAAATATAAGTAGAAAACGGATAAAGAACTTCATCTGGAAGGAAAACGGTCAAGTTTGACAAGTTCAAACAGTATTCGTTAACTATCATCAGGAAGCGAAGAAGGAAATTGCAACACGTTCGCCATTGATTACGATTCTTGGCCATATCCGATAACGCTTCGAGCTATCTCGCGGACCCCAACCAGGGAGTCGTGATACACCAACCGATGCTAATCTAGCACAAATATCCTTCATCCCACGACGCCACGTCATGGACTGACCACTCCTCCGCCTTTTCCATCCCGTCCCAGGGCTAGCGAACAGAGATCTATACGGAAGCCTCTGGGATGACATTCGCAGCACATGTCCAAGCCACCGGAGCCGGTGTTTCCAGATGACGACACTCAATGAATGGTGATCTCCACTGTGTTCAAACACACGCCGCCGAACCTCAGAATTACTCACGCGATGATGCCATCGAACGCAAGCAATCCTGCGGAGGCAGCGATGATCGAATACGCAGAGTCGCCGCATATCCTCAGCTCGGAGAAGCCAGGTTTCACAGGCGTAGAGCGAGACAGCCCGAACCGAAGCATTGTATACCCGACCTTTGACAGCCAGGCTAACGTCGCGACGGCGCCAGAGGTGGCTCAAGTTGATGTATGCCACCCTATCTTTCATTATACGGTTGGAAATCTCATCCGTCACCCCTCCGCCAGCACTCACACAACTACCCAGATACACAAACTTATCAACAACTTCAAGCGGTTCACCCGCAAGAGTGAGTGCAGGTACAGGCTCCTGCCAATCTTGTAACAGTACTTTGCACTTAGACGGTGCAAAGCACATACCATACTTACAGACGCTGATCGCCAACTAATTAAGTGCGATTTGGGCAGCCTGCATGCCATCGCACAGTAAGACGATATCGTCTGCATACTCGAGGTCGAAAAGTCTATCTCCAGGTAGCAGATCTACACCACCTTCACGCACATCCTTCAGAGCTGACTCCAGAATGTCATCGATGGCAAAGTTAAAGAGAAATGGAGAGATTGGGCAACCCTGTCTAACCCCACTGTTGGTTGGGAACAGTGATGAGAGTTGGTTGTATGCCCTCACTCTACCTGAGGTGTTTCTGTATAGAGCTTTCAAGATGTTAACAAATTTCTCAGGTACACCTCTCTCTAACAGACAGTTCCAGAGCACAGTTCTGTCCAACGAATCGAAGGCAGCCCTAATATCAGGAAACACAACGATCGTTGGCCTGCAATACGTGTGGCGGTGTTCCAACAACTGACGAAGGGTGAACACATGATCAATGCATCCACGACCTGAACGAATCCTGCGAAGCATGACAGCAGCCAATAATTTAGACGCGACTGGTAGCAGACTGATACCCCTATGATTGTCACACGAATTACGTCGACCCTTTTTAAAGATGGGGACGATAATGGCTTCGTTCCACATTGATGGTACACTCTCAGTTTCCCATACCTTCCTGAACAACCCATTTAGAGCCATTGTGAGAGTCTCGCCACCATCTTTAAAAAGAGCCGGGGGTAAATTGTCTGGGCCGGGCGCCTTATGACGTTTTAACACTTGGAGTTCCTTACGGACCTCCGCTTCGGTGGGTCGGTCGGTATTCACCGACCAAGGAGCACTGGGGCTAATGACAGCAGACATTGAAGCTGGTAGCCAACTAAACTGTTTTCCGAAGTGCACTGCCCAGCGTTCCAGGCGTCTTTTCAAACTGGTAATTGGCGTGCCATCTGCCTCACAGACCGTCTCGCTGACACCTTGTTTCTTGCTGCCAGTGGCTCGGATGAGTTGGAACAGCTTCCGACTGTTGCCAGATGCAGCAGCTGACTCCATCTCACCCGCACGTTCTGACCACCAGGCCTCGCGGTCCTTACGTATACACTTTCTTATCTTGCGCGTCAGCGCCTTTCCCTTATTACTATATTCGCTGCCAGCCGGAATGGACCGGCGTTCATCCAGGAATTGCAAGGAACTCGCAGAAACCCAGTGGTTTTTGGCGGAGCATACTTTCAAGCCGCAAGCGGCTACACTAGCTCTTTGCATGGCACCTTGTAGATGGAGCCAGTGTTCATCTATACTACTTGGGGGGTTGCTGGCAAGCATTGTTTTCAACTCATTCTGATATTTCAAACAAGTAGCAGGTGCTACTAGTTTGCTCACACCAACGTTTAGACGACGCCTTTTATGAACCCCACCAAATCACAAGACGAACTTAGCACACACTAACGCATGATCGGAGTCCAGGCATGTGCTCCAGAAGGAGCGACAGTCTTGTATGCATCCTCGCCACCAGAAACTGACAGCAATGTGACCGATCTGAGTCTGGTTCGCAGAGGGAGGACGCCAGGTAGCACTACGACGATGGCTGTGCCGGAAGTTGGTGCTGGCCAGAAATAGGTTGTGATCCGCGCAAAGCTGCAGAAGACAGTACCCATTATCTGACCTGCGACCATGTAGTCCCCATTGACCACCTAGACGATTCTCCTCTGAGCTCAGACGCCCGACCTGTGCATTCAAGTCCCCAGCCAGCACTACGATATCCCTCCGACACGCCTGTCTCAAGAGATCGCTAAGTTGGTGGTAGAACTCATCCTTCATTGCATCCAGGCTGCAATCCATTGGTGCATAGGCAGAGACAACAAATAGACACCGCCTATCTGGCCTACTACTCCTTACTTTCGTATAACCTTCCAGCCTCACAGCACATAAACGACTGTTAATGGGAATCCAGTCGAGCAGTGCAGCTTCGGCTCTAGCGCTCAGTGCGACGCCGACACCAGCTACGCCGGATGCCGACGCCACAGGGTCCCCGGACAAGCGCAGGTGGTACATACTACTAGAACTTCCAGATGGAGAGAATAATCGAAGCACTTCACTGGGATCTTGAATGCGAGTCTCCGAAATGCAGCAGACATCGATAGCGAGGCTTTCCAATGTTCTTACCAACCCTGCCTGTTGTCCGATTTGCATCAGCGTCCGAACATTGTAGGTAGCCAGCTTGAACGGGGCACGCGGTTTCAGGATATCTGTGTTAGATGTCACATTGGGGATAACCATTTTGAGGGTTACTCACTAACATCTCGAAACGACACAGATAGGCTAGGAATCCAGACAAAGGCGAAAGGCTGTCGAAGGTTAAGAAGTCAAGGTGAGCCAAGGTAAAATACAGGAATCTAAGTATAAAAATAAAAGTAAGGTTGGAAGGACATAAGTTGCTTGAGGTATCATTATTTCTTGAAATCATTTTTGCGAGCGCGCGGTGAGCTTCCACAACAGCTTATTGCTTCATTTCATTTATTGTGTGAGGGCTGAGATACTGCCCGGGAGCCCAGACCGAAGCAGGTGGTTTTCTTAAGGGACCACTCCCCCCCGAGCCTTTGACTTGGAGTGTAATCCGCAAGGCAGCGGAGCAGCGTCAGGTGCTGCGTTCCCATGGTTGCCGGTGACTCATATGGGTTCATACGCCACTTGATCCGATTGGATTCTGGTGCCCATGTACCCCATGGTAACTGCTTTTAGGCTAACCGCTATCCAAACAACCTACCTGACATGGTGGGACCTGCAGGGACATGAGTGCCAGCCAGTTTAGCTTGTTGGGTCACTGCGGCATTCAAGCCCGACCACCACGGCAAGGTAGCAGTTATCGGCCGGGTGGTTTCTTATTATCCCTAAATGGGATCCGGATTTTCTCCCCGAACCGGAATGGTTTCTCAAAAACCACTATATTGGATAACATGTCGTTGTTTCCCAAATGTGACATGATTTCTACCACTTCTTCCAAACATCTTGACCCAAATTCCTGTGGCTCTAATAGCCCTGTAGTTTTAAGGAAATTGCCCAGATCCTCCTTTTATATACAGAGATTACTACTGCATCCTTCAAATCAAGAGGAAACACTGTGTCAGTGGAATCAGCCGAAAATATAGTGCTCTATACAGTACTATATAGACCTTACTGCTTTATTCTTAGTATTAAACAAGTATAATATTTGCACTAAGCTAGTTCATGTAGCAGTATGGCTTTATATAATACAAAACGTGAGATGCTAGAAGTGAGTCGAAAGCAAACGTTGTCTGATCTAATTCTGATATAGTTTCTTACTCTGATACTGAATGAAGGAGGTTTGAATTAAGAGTTTCCTTAATGTCTTGAAGGACTAAAATTGTCTACTCCCAGATTACTGAAGTGATGAGAAACCGACAAAGTTCAAAGGTAGATGTGCTGATGATTGTGGTTCCACTCTGGTCACCTATTTATTTTAACAAAAATCAACCCAAATCTGTCATTTTAATCAAGATAATGGTATATACCACTGGTTCATATGAGTAGCTGAAAACCACTCACATCAAACAGTAGTTGTCTCCAGCCAGATCAAAGTGATATAATGACTGCACAGTTATTTCATTTATATCTAGCTGACTTCATCAGCGGTGTAGTCTGTTCAACTCTACTCAGAGAGCTGAATCAGTTGAAAACACACTAACTCGTAATACATCGAATAGAATTCTTCACTTGAAAATTACAGTTCGAAAGTAAGTATTCAGATCACAGAATGTGACCTGATGGATATCATAAAATTGACTTATCGTTTGCACACCCGTTGCGTTATTTTATGTAATGCAATCATTCTTACACTTGTTGCGTTAGATCAGTATGAATCACACATTATCCACCGTTTTTTTTTCAATATTAGTATCAAATTGTCAGTCGATTGATCAAGAATTACACTATTAAGAAATTAATATACTTCGAGAGCAAAAATAAAATGCCATATGTGAATGTACCAAACTAAAAACACAGAACAAAAAGAATGTACATTGAAACAGCTAAGAGAAAAAGTTGAAGAAATGCAAGTCTTATATATGGAACACGATAATCAATTACGTGAACAAATGGGATCAGTGTTGATGAATTTAGAAATAGAACAAACTGCTAGGAAAGATGCATCTCTAGAGATTGAAAAGTCTAATGTTCAGCTGGATGTCAGTAAGAAATCTTACTATGAGGTAAGTTGTAGTGGTTTAATTGATTTGACCTTTATGGAGAAATGGTTTGTACATTATTTCATTATTTTTAAGAAGAATGATAGAATACTTTAGGATGAAATAACTAATGTTGTCGATAACTTTAATAATCCGTTAAAACGTTATCAGTTTAGTTCCCCATTTGAAGGCATTCCAGATTACTTCAAAGCATTAATCATAAAGTAAAACACAACAACAAATGTTCAGTTACTCCGGATAGATATTTCTCCTGCTATACTACCATCAGAAAGCAAGTGTTCCCAATGTTTTTGGTATTTAAATCTTTGATAATAGAAGTTTGCATTGATGGTTACAGCAATATCTCAGTTAATCAATTACTACACTAACAGATTGGTGGTTGTCTTCAACTGATGTTTCAACGTAGATTTCATGATATACGAACAATTTGGCGAAGGTTTGTAGAGGTTTATTGAGTAGTTAAGACTTCAGAATATCCCAGATAGTGATATGAGATAATGAATGGTGTAATGTTACATAGATTTGTGGTTTTCAGGATAAAAATTGTATAGCATCACAAGAAGACTACTCATTTACAGCACAAGTAGCTAAAGTCTTAAGTTGTATATATGTTTCCTCATTTCTTATGAACATGAATGGCTTCTTCGCTGAACCATTTCAATTTTTGCAGCTTGAAGCGAGATTCAATCAATAAAGAGCTGTCTGGAGAATCAAGGGGGATAACTTCGAGGGGAAATCGCAGTTGAATGAAACAGCTGAAAGAGAAATAATTGAGTTGTTAGTAAATTTAAAATGTGATGTCAGTAAATCAAATACATCATCAATAGACTACGATTTACATTCCGAACCACGTATCGCTATTCTGCTGGAGAAAATAAAAAATATCCAAATGACAAACGATAATCTTCGAAGTAGACTGGAAAACCAGTCTCAAGAGATGGAGGTAATAACTTCATTTCTAAATAATTTGAATTTATATGACATTTTCTGTTTCATTATATCAGCAATTTATCTTTCGGTGCAATAGAGTTATAATTATTGTACAAATTTGGAGTTTTGAAATTTTATTACCACTTTGGAAGAATGCATAAACTTTATCAGTTGTCTGCTTCTGATCCGTTCTTTTACTCCAAACCGTATTAGAAATTACAAAGGAACTCGTCGTCTTAAAGTGAGACATTTTTAAGATGTAACTACTTTTGTATTCATCATCATCTCTCAAAATTATACAGGAATCAAACCCTAGACAAAAGATGCTAAATCCAATGAAGTGTTTCAAACCGTTAAATTTTATTTCATTCTTCCGAGTGAAACGATTAAATAAACTTTTCTGAATAAAGTTTCAAAATTCAATCGCTCTGAGATGCGGTTTCACAATCTGCTACGAAACAGTTCGAATTTAACTTTAAACATGAAGTAAACTAATTAAACCTTGATCATACCAGCTGCTTCTTTAACTGTATCATTTATAGGTTGTCAGTAGCTCCGGGAACAGCATCTTCATGTACACACGGCTTTCTGCTACACTTAATAGGTGAGAGATAATGACTCTACCTAGTTGTCAAGATGGAGTAGAATTCGAACACAACACTCGTTGGTTGAAAGCCAGGTGTTTAAGTCAGTGAACCACGTCTTCACATAACAATTAAATATATGCGTAAAACTTGGTCACTGTGGTAGTATGCAAATCCATATTACTTAGTTTATTGGAAATGTCGCTAGCCAGACATAGTACACAACACTCGATGCCTCAGAACACCAATGCCTGTAAGGATGGATGCTATGCTGAAGCTTGATGATCTCTAATACCGTTCCACCCCAAAATTATGTGAGGTAACACTCCTCAGTGTGGAAAACGACAGAGGGTTCAACACGCATTAGACATATGCTATCCGTGTCAGCTGATGTCCGCTCCCCACCTAACTCAATCAATGTGCGTAGTAAGAGTCAATAGTGAATGTTGCACTACCTTGGTGTTTATAAGTTTCCAGACCGTAGACGTTACGAATTATTTGTAATAATTCAAGCACCGAATCCGATTGAATCATTATAAATTATTTAAAATAATCCGGTCTTGACATAGATTCTGATAACCCTAAACACATGCAAAGCAGTGCAATTCATTCATGTATGTCAAGTTTATTTTAGGTGCTTTGAAAGAATGCTCACCTTGCACAATAACGTTCTAAGATTAAGAAAACATCAACTACTATAATGAACTACAAGTTTAGACTACCTGCTGAACTTATTCCCCTGACATTTAAGTATGAAATGAACGCACAGAACATATGACTACAATTGCATTTCTACACCATTGATTTTCTCTGATCTACGATGAAACAGCCCTTCGTCACCTGTTGTATCCTGCCAATCGACGATGAAATTCTGACCCGGAGCACTAGACTCCTTACAGCTTGCTTATCCTTCAGTGAACGTGAGAAGTAAGACAACTGTAGCTAAGTTTAATACAGTCAACTGCATACTGGTATTGAACGATGAGGAGTGACATGTGAAACTAGGAAAATACCAACGGTTAGCATATAAAAACCCAAAGAATAGGAGCCGCATCTTTCCACTCCGATGGATATGGTACTAGTACACAATAAACAGAGAACACTAACGGGAGTTGGCATGCACTCTTTATTTGCTCACTCGATATCAGTGTAAAGAGTAAGACAGCTTCTCACTGAAAACATGAGGTTTATTTGACTACATCATACAAAATGATCGTTAAAGTATTCAAAGCTTTATAAAGTAAAGTGAGGTTTCTACATGTCATGCTAATTTAGAGATTGAAGGTATCGACGTTCGCGAGTTGTACGGATTATACTAACGCAAGATCTTATACCAACAACCACTATAGTGTTCGTTCTTCGAGTACCAAATGGTAAAGCAAAAGACCAGATTTTGTCGTCCAAATACGATATATATTTTGGGACCAAATCGCGGGTAGGAATGAATGCTTAGCTAGCTAGTAATCGTGCACGCACGTGACACGACGAAGCACCAAATGGCGGGGATGCTTGACCGAAAGCCTTCAGCTAAACAAGTCGACTTAAACAGTGATGGTCAGCATCCAATGTTGAGTGATGATTGCTGTGGTTAATAATTTTGGGGAATTATTTACCGCTACAGCTCACTCCCCCCCTAGTGGGTTTGTGAGGACCCTAAGACATGACCAGCCGGAAGTAAAAAAATCTCGATGGTTCCCTGACGGGTGAAAAAAATCTTCCGAGCGGCTTGATGGAGTGCCTGCTGGTCTGTCTTCCTATGCTAATAGGGTGTCTGTACATAGCTTCCTGGATGTTGTCCGTTGGATCCCGTGCTTCGTTTGTTTCCTGTCCAGTGCCCGTTGCACCTGGAAAAGAAAACAAGAATGCTGAGAACCTTGTCAAGAAAAATGTACCAAATAAGCGTTTTTTTTTACCAAAAAAATATGACATGCATCTACTATACAGTAAAATAATGTAAAGTGCAAAATATCGGGGAAAAAAAAATATACCTTTAATTTAATTTTATGTACGGTTATAGGAGAAATATCATTTACTTGTGTTAAATGACGCAACATAAAAAAATTGATGTGTCACTCAGTTATGTGAGATAGGTGTGAAGGTATTCTGGAAATCTAACGTGACGTCCAGAACGCGTTTTCTTAGAGTGATCGACCGAAGTAGCCAGTGGGCGAATGCCCTGACAGTCAATAGTGTGACCCAGAAAATCGAGTGAGTCAACGCCTATTTGACACTTCTGTATATTGATGGTAACACCATGTTGGCGTAACCTTTCAAATGCCAAGTCCAAGTGTCTAAGGTGAGTTTCCTTGTCTGGACTGACAATGAGGCAGTCGTCTAAGTATGCGTATACAAAGTCGAGACCGCGAAATACTTCATCGATGAAGCGTTGGAATGTTTGTGCCGCATTCCGGAGGCCGAATGGCATACGTAGAAATTCGAAAAGTCCGAAAGGCGTAATGATAGCCGTTTTCGGGATATCTTCCGTAGCCATCGGGATTTGGTTATATGCTTTAACCAAGTCGATTTTGGAGAACATAGATGCTCCAGATAACGTTGCCGTCAAGTCGTGTATGTGAGGCAATGGATAGCAATCAGGAGTTGTTTTGGCGTTGACTCGCCGGTAATCACCAGTGGGTCGCCAATCGTTACTATCTTTTTTTGGAACCATATGCAACGGGGATGCCCATGGACTATTCGATGGCCGAATGATGCCAAGGGTGAGCATATGATCGAATTCGTTTCTGGCAATTCTCAGTTTATCAGGGGCCAGTCGTCGTGCTTTAGATGTCACGGGCTGTCCTGAGGTTATGATGTGGTGCATAACATTGCTGGTTATACACGGGAGGTCGTTAGATGGGCAATTCAGTTCCGGATATTTATCAACAATCGGTTGAAAAGTTGGATCGAGGATTGCTTTCATCTTAACGATTGACAAGCTGGGGCCACTGTAAGTTATGCCTTTGATAGACAAACTAGTAGTGTTGTCAATTAATCGTTTACGGCGGACGTCTACGAGCAAATCATGATGATTAAGTAGGTCCGTGCCGATGATGGGCATTGTGACGTCAGCGATTAGGAAAATCCACTGAATAGGTTTGCGTAAACCTACGTTCAGATAGACGTATTTCCGACCATAGGTTGCAATTGGTTTTCCATTTGCAGCCTGTAGGTTGAAGTTAGGATCCTTCTGTCGATCTGCTGCTGTAGCAGGAAGGACGCTGACTTCGGCGCCTGTGTCGACTAGATATCTAGTCTGGCTAATTACATCATGGATGTAAAGTAAGCGGCTAGTGCCACCGGCGACGGTTGCCGCTAACGCGTGCCGGCGGGATAGTTTCCCACAGACTTGGAGGCTTTGCCGAAATCACAAGGTTTTCGACAACATTTCGCTTCTTGGCCATAGGTGTTGTGATACCAACACCAGTCAGGATTTTTGAGAGAGCGTGTGCTGGACTTAGATCGTCCACGTGCACTTTGCCGTTGAGGGGATTTAGAACGACGATAGGAGGAATTGCTAGGCTTGTTTGACCTAAGCATCTGCTGGACGGAGTTGCATAACTCTATCATTGCAGAATCCTTTCT